CCGTCGTCGGCGTCTCGTCGTCGTCCCTCCTATTTCGTCGCCGTCGTCGTCGTCTTCGTCGTCGTTGTCGTCGTCGTCGTCATCCCTCCTCCCTCGTCGTTGTCGTCGTCGGCGTCGCCGTCCTTCCTCCTTGTTCGTCGTTGGCGTCGTCGCCGTCTTCCCTCCTCCATCGTCGTTGTCGTCGTTGTCGCCGTCGTCGTTTTTTCTCCTCCCTCGTCGTCGTCTCCGTTGGCGACGTCGTCGTCGTCTTCGTCGTCGTCGTCGGCGTCGTTGTCGTCGTCGTCGTCGTCGGTGTCGTCGTCGTCGTTGTCGTCGTCGAAAACATTGGAGACGTCGCCGGTGTCGTCGCAGTCGCTGTCGGCGGCGCCGTCGTCGTCGATGTCGCTGTCGTCGTCGGCGTCGGTGTCGTGGCCAAGTGCCATGTAGTACCTACCGTCACGGTCTTGTCTGAAGATGTCTTGCGACCAAGTTGCGGGTGGGAGGGTGGGAGTTTTGCACGAGCAGGGGAGAGGACAGCTTCAAGACGGTCAATATTAATTGCACCACGTAGATTGTACCACGTATACTGCACCACGCATATTGCTCCACATACTTTCCCTTATGTAGGATGGAATTACGAAGTACCACCCCCTCCCCCCAGGATTATCGGTACATTCTGCGGCTGTCTAGTTTTCATATGACTGTGCCCCATCGTTAATTTTTGAACTCGTACTATCCCAGCCAAGCCTGGTGCGCCCCCCCCCATCATTTGCGACAAGCCATGCGCGCGCATTCGTTTATCCAACTTCATCAGATTCCAAGGGTTTCTGGTATCCAATGGGACGTGCACGCTCGCTCGTCCACGCGCGCATGCCAAACTTTTCCAAACACTTTCGGTGTCGCGAGGCTTTCAAAATCCATTACTCCGACAACATGCAGCACACGCATGTTTGTGCAACCAGTTTGTCAAAAAAGGTCTGCGCGCGCGGTCTTGCGAATTCCCACGATGCCATGGTTATGTTCCGCATTTTCAACAAAGGTGACCAAACGGGCCTCTCGCGCGCGCATGTCGAAATCAACCGAACGCCCTTGCGCGCGAGCTGGGGGGCACGATCCCTGTCAAATGGCACCATGCGGGCCACTCGCAAACCGTCAGCCGCTCGCGCATGTTGAAATCCTTCCACGAATTTCATCGCCGACACGTGGGCACCATCATCGTCATCGGCGTGATCAGCATTGGCGCCGTCATTGGCCTTGCCGACGTCATCGTCATCGTCGTCACCAGCACCGCTGCATTCATCATCGTGTCTGCCGTTGTCGACGTCGTCATGATAAGTACCGCACGCGCCCGAACCACCGACTCGCACTGAAGTGCCCGCGCGCCAGCGCGGCCTGCGAGCCGCGTTGGGCAGTGCCCAGCGGTCAGCGCCACCGCGGCCGCGCGTGCCGTGTCGGAGTGACTGGCCGCTCTGTGCGCGAGCCTGTGCGCGCTAGCGCGGCCGCAGCGATACGTCAGCCAGCGCCGAACTGTCATGGCAATCGCCGCCCAATGGATTTTGAGAACCACCAAACTGCGGGCTCGCGGGTGGAATGGCTGCGCGAGCACTTGAGTTGACAATTTCTGGTTCGGCATGGTGAATTGTGCCACATAGATTGCACCAGCTTGGGGCATGACGGGCGTCATGGCCCCCGCCCCCCCCCCTTTGACGTAACGCTCCCCCCAGTGCGCTCCGGGCACTGCCGCCGTGCGTTTTGGGATCCGCGTAGGTGTCCGCGTAGGGATCCGCAGAGGAGTTTGGTCTGCAATCGTCGTCGTCGTCGTCGTTGTCGTCGCTCGTGGCTTGTCACTCGTCGCTCATAGTCGTCGTGCGCGCGGACGCGGCTGAAACCTGTTTTCTATTCCGGGCCGAAGGGGGTCGATGTCGTCACGTTTCGCGCAGGCGGCGTTTGGGAATGCCTAGAAATCACTGAGGACGGGTCGCGCCAGCATGTAGGTGGCGATTGCACCACAACGCTAGTGTACACCACACTGCTTGCGTGCACCACAGCGCCTGTGTACACCACACCACCTATGTACACCACACCAGCCGCGTGCAACACGGCGTCAATTTGTGCCACCGTGCTTGCGGGCACAACAGCTCTTGTGCACACCACAGCGCTTGCGTACACCACATCAGCCGTATGCAACACAACACCAGTGTACACCACAATGCCTGCGTGCATTGCAGTGCCTGTGTGCACCACGGCGTTTGTGTGCACCACAGCAACCGTTTGCAACACAACACCATTGTTGTATATAGAATGTTCAAACGAATCCTTATGACAAAATGGAGCGCGTGTGGATTGCACAGGAAGCAATATAACATAACCTTTATGGGCAACGGAGCGCCGCTGGAATCTACGAATCCTCCCGAGTCCGCCCGCATCACCCGAACTCCTTCCCATTTGCATCCAGGAGGCTCCAGCTAAATTCCAGCTAAATTGGCCGTCCGAAAACCAATTGGGCCGATTCTATAGACCATTCTGCGGTGCGCGCTGAGGTGCGCACGTGCGCTTTAGCGCCAACCCGCACGACAGGGGGTACGGAGGAGGAGGAGGAGGAGGTGGAGGAGGAGGAGGAGGAAGAGGAGGTGGTGGAGGAGGAGGAAGAGGGAGGAGGGAAGAATGTCGTATTCGATTATCAGCACTTTCCTGGCGTGGCGTCCAGTTGTTCGCAGCAGATCCTCACGTATATGCTCCTTCTACCTGTCCTATGCACGCAGGCATTGTGGTGTACACCAGTGCTGCGTTGCACGCGGATGTTGTGGTGTAGACGCGCGCTGTGGCGTGCACAGGCGCTGCGGTGCACGCAAGCATTGTGGTGTACTCAGGCGCTGTGTTGCACATGGTAGCTGCGGTGTACACGTGTACACCGATGCTGTAGTGTACGCAAGCACTGTGGTGTACACAGGCGCTGCGTTGCTCACGGTTGTTGCGGTGTGCGCAGGCGCTGTGATATACACGCGCGATGTGGTGCACGCGAGCGTTGTGGTGTACACAGGCGCAGTGGGGCATATCGCCACTTACATGCTGCTCGCGTCGTCGTCGTCGTCGTCGTCGTCGTCGTCGTCGTCGTCGTCCGCTCGTCGCGTTGCGCGCGCGGGCGCGGCTGCGGTGCCGGAGCCACACGGCGGGGGGGGGGGCGTTACGTCATACCCCCCCCTCGCCCCCCCCCCCATGACGCCCCTCATCGCCGAACATAAAGAAACGCGCTCTATATTGCACCACGTAGGCTGCGCAGCATCGATTGAACTTAATGTATTGCGCAACGTAAACTGCACATCATCTTAGACCACGTATAACAGCATAGATAGCTATAATCACATTGTTTAGGATCCGAGCGGGCCTACATTGGTTTAAACTATCGAAAACATGAACATGAAGACAACAAGCGCAACCCAGTAGCTCTGTCTAAGCGAGATGATTATGACCATTGTTTTAGTTCGGACGCGGCACCTGGTGTACTGCCACTCGTGTGGCGGAATGGCTGTTGTGGTAGGTTCAGTTCGGCGGCTGGGCTGGCGGGTCAGAATCGTGCCAGGGAGGAAAAACGGAGGGAGGTGACACATGTCACGGCGTCATGGGCGGTGCTTGTGGGGCGGTGTTGCTTTGTGCGGTAAGCGGTGTTTGGTGTTGTGTGTTTGGTAGTGTGGTGTGTGTGTGTGTGTGTGTGTGCGGCACGGTGTGTTTGGTGTGCTGATTTGGTGCCCGGTGTGTAGGGTTCAGTGTTTGGTGTGTTGTGTGGGGTGTTTCGTGTGTGGTGTCTGCTGTGTGGTATTTGGTGTTTGGGTTCGGTGTTTGGTGGTTGATTTTTAGTGTGTGGTGTGTGGTGTTCGGTCGTTGGTCATTCGTTTTTGGTCTGGGCTGGTGTGGTGTGTTTGGTGCTTGATGTTTGGTGGGTGGTGTTCGGTGCGTGGTGCTTTCTGCTTGGTGCGTGGTGTGCGTGTGTGTGCCTGTGCGTGGTGTGTGCGTGGTGTGTGTGTGTGTGTGTGCGTGTGTGGTGTTTTGCGACCTGCGCGTGGAGCGAGAGCGGGCCTCGCCAGGGGGGGCTTGCGCGCGAGGTCGCACGGGGCTGGCGGAACTGGAGGCGCGTGGGCCCGGGAGTGTGCCGGGCCCAGGCAGGTGTCGGCGTGCAGCTGGCGCCCGTCAGGAGGGGGGCGGGGCAGCCTCGAGGGTGGCGGGTCCCTGAGGGCAGGGGCAGCCTTGAGCACTGGTGGGTTACAGTGGAGGCCCATGCCAAGAAAAGCTTTGCTTGCCTCCAGGGTGCCCTGGGTTTTTCCTGGGTTTCGATGGCTTCGCCCCACATTAAACATCAATGGGCGTCCTGGGGTCTCAGGGTTGGGTTTCTTTTGGAGGGTGTCTTGTGGTCGAGCTCCTAATTGCTGTAAGCAGTCTTGAGGGCGGCTGGTCCCTGAACGAGGAAGAAGGCCAAAGTCTGATTTCAGGAAGCACGAAGCCGATGTAGCAGCTCTTTTGTGACTCTGGAGAGGCGGAACCACATGGGGGACGGTGAGAGAGCAGGACGGTAGAGGCAGGGCGGGGTACGACGGAGGGCGCGCTGGCAGGAGGAGGCGGCGGCGGTCTCGGGAAACCTCCGACATGCTCTGAGCAATCTGCGGCCCCGCGCTCCCGACCCCTTCCCCCAGGGTGACTCTTCGCCCCTGACCCATTCGCAGGATGCCAGAGTCCGTGCGGAGTAAGTCTGCACGGAGTGCTCGGTCTTCGTCTGGGCTCACACCGCCTGGACTTAGTATGCCGAGTCCGTGCGGAAGTCCGCTCGGAGTGCTCGGCTTCCGTTTGGGCCTGCGCCGTGTGGACTGCGCCTCTCCTGACCAACGCTGGATGGTCCCGGGGCCCGACAACGGCCCCCCCCCAGAGGCCAGGATTCACAAAAGACGCCGCGACTGGAAAACGGCCACATCGTCGGAGGTTGCTCGGCTTCCAGCCGCAGGAGACCGAGCGCCCAAACACGCGGCCGCCAGGAATGGACCCCACGGAGAGGAG